TCTACAAGGTGTAGTAGACTACAGACTTAGGTTCTGGGTCATTAATATCGGCTGGCCGGGGAAGGTGCACGATGCCAGAGTATTCGGTGAGTCATCCATATTTAGAGAAGGTCTGAGTGGCACCTTGTTGCTGGTACGGAGGTGCCTTTGGTTATCCTTGGTGATTCGGCATACCCACTCCAGTCATGTGTCATGAAGCCGTATCCTGACCATGCACACACTACTCCTGCCCAGCTGGATTTCAACTACAGGTTAAGCAGAGCTCGGATGACAGTGGAGAGAGCCTTTGGTCGTCTAAAAGGCAGATGGAGATGTCTTATGACTAGGAATGATGGACAGCTGGAGAATATGAATGATGTTGTCGCAGCCTGTTGTGTGCTGCACAACTTTTGTGAGGACAACAGTGAGTGTTGTGAGGACCTTGGATTCAAGGATAATGACAGATCAACGAATCCACAACCACATGTTGAACTGCAACGGCAAACACTGTTCGAGATGCTCTGTGTTCATACCTGTTTGCACTGTAAATGTCAGTTTGGACTGTGAATATCTATTTGGACTGCTGTTACGTCCAGCTCAGCTAGGGAGTAAGAACGTAGCAAAAAACCAGATGGAATTGGCATTTGTCCATTTTAAAGTAAGTTTTTAATGATGACAGCAAATAAAATGAATTGGGAAACGAAGGAGGAATACAGAAATAATAATAATATTGATAATACAAAACGAAAGTCACTATACAAAACTAGAGCTCAAAATTACAAAGTGACAACGTAAGGGAACAGAACAATACAGGAGGAGCAGTGACGGCAGACTGGCACGGACAAGTCCAGCTGCCCCGAGCTGACGGCAAGTGGGAGGTTTTATGGGGACGCCCTCAGTGATTAATCCCCGGGGTTGGAAGACGTCCACGCTCTTGTCCCACTACAGCCACTCAGGCGTTAGACTGGCCACGCCCACACTTCAAGTCCCTCCAATAGATCTCCCGCACAGACACCTGTACAGAACACGAAGGCGCACACACAAACACAAAGGGCAATGGGAGCGCCATCTAGTGCACAACTGGCACAATAGGTCGTTGCCCGTAACACCCCCCCCCTTAAGAGCGAAACTACTCATTTTCTATAAACACGGTTAGGTAGCCAATTGGAACTACGGTAATAACCAGGGGGTACTATAGCGATGGACTGTCAAAACCTGGACAGGGCATCGGCCAACACATTTTCCACTCCTTTCTTGTGACGGATTTCGAGATGAAAGTCCTGCACCATCAGAGCCCACCTCATCAACCGCTGATTATGGTTAAACATGCGGGACAAAAAGACAAGAGGGTTATGGTCTGTAAAAACCAACACAGGCAAAGAACTCGACCCAACATATACCTCAAAATGCTGAAGAGCGAACAACAAAGACAACGTTTCCTTTTCAATGGTCGAATATGACAATTGGTGCTTATTAAATTTCTTTGAATAATAGCCAACTGGGTGGTCAACTCCAGCGGCATCTTCTTGAAGAAGAACAGCCCCGGCCCCTTCAGCACTGGCGTCTACCTCCAACTTGAATGGACGGGAACAAACAGGCGCTGCGAGGACAGGCGCATGGCTCAACAAAGCCTTTAGACTGGAGAACGCATGGTCACACTCCTGCGACCAAACAAAATCAACCTTGGGGCTGAGCAAACGAGTCAGTGGCAACGCAACGGTAGAAAAGTTCGGGCAAAAACTCCGATAATAACCGGCCATACCCAAGAACCGGCGGAGAGCGCGACGCGTAGTGGGGGACGGACAAGCAAGGATGGCAGCGACTTTCGCTTCAACAGGCCTTACTTGACCCTCGCCCACTTCTCGGCCCAGGTAGGTAACGGTGGCCCTCCCGAACTCACATTTGGCCAAATTCACCGTGAGAGAGGCCTGTGCAAGGCGTGAAAACACTTTAGTCAAAATAGACATATGCTCCTCCCAAGTAGCTGAATGCAGAATTAAATCATCTAGATAAGCATTGCAGTTAGACAAGCCACTCAACACCGTATTAACAAGCCTTTGAAACGAGGCTGGGGCGTTGCGCATCCCAAACGCCATGACTGTATACTGCAGAAAATAATCCGGTGTTACAAAAGCAGAGATCTCCGAGGCACGCTTCGTGAGCGGCACTTGCCAATATCCTTTTAGTAAATCCAGTTTGGTTACAAATTTTGCAGTTCCTAGATTGTCTACACAATCCTCCATGCGAGGCATTGGGTAGGAATCTGGTTCTGTGACAGCGTTCACCTTTCTAAAATCGGTAATAAATCTGGGAGTCCCATCGGGTTTCTCCTCCACTAAGCATGGCGAACTCCATGCACTGGAGCTATGAATGGCAAGGCCGTGCTCTAGCAGGTATTCTGCCTCCTGCTTCATAAGCGCACGCTTAGCGGGATTCACCCTATAGTGATGTTGCCGGATGGGTTTTGCTCCTTTCACATCAATGTCATGTGTTAACGCGGTAGTTCGAGATGGTACATCACTAAATAAACAGGAAAAATCATGAACAATAGACAGTATGTCCTCTCTCTGAGTATTGCTCAAATGACCCAATTTCTCGGGCAGCTCGTTAACCATTTGAGAATTCGAGAGTCGCGCAACTTTAGCCTACCGAGGAAAAACTGCATCTGGGACAGCCCGGTCAGTCTCTACTATCACCAGCGCTGCGGCACAAGTGGACGGGGACGCCACCGGTGGGTCAACACTGCGTTCATAATATTTCTTTAGCATGTTAACGTGACACACCCGGGACTTACGCCGGCGATCAGGAGTACGAATGACAAAATTTGTGTCATTTATTTTCTCTTTTACCTCATACGGTCCAACAAACTTTGCAGACAACGCATTTCCCCTGAGAGGGAGCAAGACAAGCACCTTCTCTCCCACCGAAAAATCACGTTTAACAGCCTTTTTATCAAAATGGACCTTCATACGTTTCTGGACTCCAGCAAGCGTAGACTTCGCCAGTTTATTCGCAGTCACCAACCGCTCATGAAAATGACTTACAAACTCGAGCACATTATGGGGCGCAGACGAAGGAGCCAGGAACTTCTCCTTTAAAGCTTTCAAAGGACCGCGGGGACTATGACCAAACACTAAGTCCGCCGGACTGAAGCCAAGAGACTCCTGTACCGCATCACGTGCCGCAAATAATACAAAGGGAATCCCCTCATCCCAAGTATTTCCCGTTTCCAAACAGTATTTCCTCAACATTGATTTTATTTTAACGTCTGATGCCACCGCTCGAGCGCACCCTGGGACTCTGGATGATACGCGCTGGAAACTACATGCTTTACATCCAGACTTCGGACTAATTCATTGAATAGCTTTGATTGAAAATTTGCCCCTTGATCTGACTGAACGACCCGGGGAAGACCAAACAAAGAGAAGAAGTTTGTTAACGCCTTTACTATGGAGCGGGACGTGCATTTACGTAGCGGAATGGCTTCAGGAAAGCGCGTCGCAGCACACATAATGGTGAGCAAAAACTCATATCCACTCTTTGTTCGGGGCAGAGGGCCCACACAATCTATTATTACACGATCAAACGGTTGGTCTATGGCAGGGATAGGTTGCAAAGGCGCGGAAGGAATGGGCTGGTTTGGCTTTCCTGCTATCTGGCATACGTGGCAGGTGCGACAAAACTCAGCCACATCACGTTTCAATCCAGGCCAGAAGAATTGTTTTAAAATATGTGTATAAGTCTTAGTGACTCCTAAATGGCCAGCCCATTGGCTCTCATGTGCCACCGCCAAAATGGACCTCCGGTAGGAGTGAGGCACCACGATTTGAAACACTGCACTTAAATCACACCCAATTGAAGCAAGCGGGGACCATTTGCGCATAAGCAGACCATTGTCAAGGAAATAGTAATGTTGTACATCGTCCTTGGGTTGTTCACTACTCACCACTCCGGAGAATAATACGCGTAAGGTTGGATCGGACTTTTGCTCCATAAGCAGTCGTTCGCGAGAACAAGGCAACCTCAGCCCAGCGAGTTTCTCCGACATGACAGGTTCCGCAGGCGTTTTTGAGACAGCCTGTAGTTTCTGTTTGGACCCACTCAAATCTGTAACATTACATAAAAAGGTATCAGACAAGTCAACGTCCGGTGAACAGGCCTTGGCGCGCGTCATGACGCACACGGGCAGCTCAGGGGAACCCATCTCCGTGGAACTGCAACATGGGGAATCAACAATTTGCAGGGGAGGAAATACCGTTCCCCCTGCTAAATCATTTCCCATCAGCATATGCACACCTGGAATGGGCAACTCCTGGCACACAGCAATAGGGAAAACACCGGTAACAAGTTTGGATTTCGATGTGCACATAATGTACGGGGTGCGGGCAGTAGCCCATCTCAATCCCTCTTAATACCGCATTATATCCACAGAAAGACTCTGATGAAAATGGAAGCGCACTGGCTAATATTACAGACTGAGCTCCCCCAGTGTCACGTAAAATGCGGATGGACTTCTGATCATGCAGGGCTCCCTTTACAGACACAAGGCCCTCAAGTATAAACGGCTTGAAACACGGATCTGCACTGTCGCTTACAACAGGTGTACTCTCCATGTTAATTACTCCGACACCATTAGCTTTAGTGGCAGAGTAATTGGATTTACGCTTAAGAGCCAAACAGTTAGAGATGACATGTCCAGGTTTGTGACAGTAAAAACACTCTCGTTGCTCTTTGTGAACGGGTGGCGTGTTGGCAGACCTACGAATTGGCTCTGAGACAAAGGACCGGTTTTTCTCCGTACCAAATGTGGTCCTATGAGTCAGGGCGAATTCATCAGCCAACACCGCGGCCTCTTGTAACGTGGTAACTTTCTGTTCACTCAAATACATAACAACTCTCTCCGCTAAATTATCTTTGAATTCCTCCAACAAGATTAATTCACGCAAATCACAAAATGAATTAACTTGTGATGAAGTGCACCATTTCTCAAATAAAGTGTGTTTCTCTCGGGCAAACTCTACATAGGTCTGGTTTGGGGCCTTCTGGAGGCCTCTGAAGCGCTGCCGGTAGGCCTCAGGGACCAGCTGATACGAACGTAAAATAGCAACTTTAACAGACTCATATCTCATGCTTTCCTCCAAAGACAGAGCAGCAGAAACTTCCTGTGCTTTCCCAGTTAACTTACACTGGAGCAATGTGGACCAAAGCTCAGGAGGACAATTTATCGCCTGGGCTATGCGTTCAAAAGCAGAAAAATAACTGTAAATTTCAGACTCACGAAAGTTTGGAAAAAGCGAAACATATTTACTCACATCAACAGGTTGGACCGGACTGTGGGCTGGCTCAACAGCAGCAACGACCCGGCTAGGGTTAAGAGGAAGACGGCCTTCTGCCTCCAGCTCGAGCCGCCGCATTTTCAGCGCAGTCTCGGCCTCGATCTCAAGTTTCTTGAGTCGGTATTGAAGTTCCATAGTCGCTTGCCGCTCCCTCTCCCTTTCCTCCGCTTCCTCGCCCAGGCGCTCCACAGGTACTCTGTGCCGCGTAGGAACCTGGGGGAAACGGGACGGGCTACCCAGCGAGTGGTCCCAAGAGAAGCGGGTCGGGTGATCAGGCCGGCCTCTACTCTCAGACACACCGGGTGGAGAAGATGACGTTGTCAGCCTCTCCTCTGCTTTGGGAGGGACGCGTGCTGTGGATGGACAAACTTCCGGGCCCAATACCAGAGAGGTTGCCTCGGGACGCTCCGAATGACCAGCAACGACCTCCACCTCAAGCCTAGGAACGTGCATGCCGCCATGCTCCACCAGCCAGGATGCAACAATATGTTTCAACTCTGCTTTCTTTAAGTTTTTGTCCACTTCAATTTGGCACAGGTCTGCAATATCAACTAACTCAGTTTTCTTAAATTTATTCAACTCCTCCTCTGTAGGATGTGATAAAAATCTGTCAAAGTCAGCCATATTAAAAGTTTGCACGGGAACACCTGAGAATATTGCGCACAACAATTCACTTATTAAATCTACCAAAATTTGGTACCTACTTCTTTTAAACGAACATGGGACAAGGATTACCCGATCCCGGACGAGCCCCCAATTTTGTTACGTCCAGCTCAGCTAGGGAGTAAGAACGTAGCAAAAAACCAGATGGAATTGGCATTTGTCCATTTTAAAGTAAGTTTTTAATGATGACAGCAAATAAAATGAATTGGGAAACGAAGGAGGAATACAGAAATAATAATAATATTGATAATACAAAACGAAAGTCACTATACAAAACTAGAGCTCAAAATTACAAAGTGACAACGTAAGGGAACAGAACAATACAGGAGGAGCAGTGACGGCAGACTGGCACGGACAAGTCCAGCTGCCCCGAGCTGACGGCAAGTGGGAGGTTTTATGGGGACGCCCTCAGTGATGGATCCCCGGGGTTGGAAGACGTCCACGCTCTTGTCCCACTACAGCCACTCAGGCGTTAGACTGGCCACGCCCACACTTCAAGTCCCTCCAATAGATCTCCCGCACAGACACCTGTACAGAACACGAAGGCGCACACACAAACACAAAGGGCAATGGGAGCGCCATCTAGTGCACAACTGGCACAATAGGTCGTTGCCCGTAACAACTGCAATGTCTGTGTACCTTTTTTTCAAAACCATCAAAGCGTCCTTGCTTGTAGGAGTTATTTGATTTGTGTGCTGCATGCATTTAAATTATTTTGGATTTTTGTATTGGTGCTTTTTTAAATTTACTTAATTTTTGCTAAAGCTAGTTTTGAGATGCAGCATTTTTTGTTGTTTGCCTGCAAACATGTGAAATATTTTTTTTTAACTTGAATATTTTTGGAATGGACATTTGTTTTCTTTTTCCTGTGTAAACCACTTACCCTTGGTGCATTTTGTTTTCCAAAAAAAGTCTATGATATGGGTTGTGTCAGTGAGGTCAGAACAGAGGAGACAGTCCCAACAGTAGGTAAATATCAAAGTCATTTTTGCACACAAACAATCTGTTCTTTAAGATAATTTGACAATACAATTCTGGAGCTATACCATGGATCTATTATATTAACTGTATAGGGTATTGCTAGCTTGTAGATGAATAACCCATGTGCTCGGGGGATTCTCGCGGTACTGTAGACTAGACCAGACTAAATTCACGTGGGCTACCCAGAAATGTTCCCCATAGAACTCAATGCATATTAAAACATCTCAACCTCAGCTGACAGAGAACCTACAGATTTAATAAAGATCGAATTGTGTGGGGATTTTAGTGTCCCTTGTCATCCTGAACTTTTTTTCTTCTTAAAACCCTTTGGTTTTCTTTAAATCCACACTTTGGTGCCACAAACTCTGCCCGTCTGGCTCTCGCTCTAACTCCCGCTCTGATGAACTGCTCTGATTGGTCAGAGCGCGGCCGAGCCCCTCTGTGCACGTGCGTGAGACCCGGTGTGAGACCCACACACGTGTATTTGGCGCAACGCATTATGGGAGATCATCCACTGCGCAGAACCGGGAGGACCAGACGATGCCCAAATACAGGCGAGTTTCCCATAGATCTTTGCGAGTTCCAGGCGACTTCCGATAATCTTTCAGCCCCCATGCCGTCACAAAGCGCCACTGAGAACAACCATTCATTTGAATAGGGCGCCATCTTGGATCGCCGGGGCTTGAGCTATACTTGGTGTTGGTTTAAGGACTTTACTTGGGTGGAATCTACACTAGTCAGCATCATGCAATACTTATGTTGTACTTTAGCAGCTGATAATAAGGAGAATAAAGAATAGTAATAGCGGGAAAAGTAGTGAATTATCAGATGAATGGAGTAGGTAATAATGGTGTTATACAGCTGCCAGTGACTAGAGGCCATCTACATCTCATAAGACAGAAATGTTACAGGCTTAAATCGATACACATTAAAGGTGTGCTTCATGGTGCAGTGTGTGGTCAAGCATAATGGTAAATACAGAACTAGCATGTAGACTCATGCAGATTTAAATTCACACAGCACAATTTTGTTTGCCAGCAATAATTTTTTTCAAAATAAAATCTCCATCCAGTGTATTTGACAGTTTCACAGATTTGTCTTCCAAGTATGGTTTACCGCGCACCCATACATTTCGTTATTTTCAAGTACGGAACTTTGTTCGGGGTAGCTTTGTTGACTTTCCACGCTTACCACCTGAAAGACCTTGGGACAATTTGCTTTTTTTTAGTCCATCTCAGAGAGGGGTAATATCAAAGGTTTATAACTCTATTTTGTCATTAAATGGGCAGTCAAATATTAAGATCAAAGTTGTGGGGGAAAAGGAGCTTGGAATTTCTCTGAGTGTGGACCTCTGGGACAAAGCTATGGGTAGGATAAGATCCACTACTTCTTGTGCTCGCCTTAGTCTTATCCAATTTAAAGTCTTGCACAGGGTACATTTTTCTAAATCAAGACTCTCTGTAATGTATCCAGACACCGAAGACAGATGTGATAAATGTAAAGGATCTCCCTGTCACCTTAGCCATATGTTTTTCCTTTGCCCTGATCTACAACATTTTTGGACATAATTGTAAAGTACAATTATGTTAACTGTTCTTGGTGTAAATCTACAATCTTTTCCACTGATTGCGATATTTGGGATCACTAATTCTTCTCTCGCAATGACTTCCACACGAAAAGCCATTATTGCATTTACATCCTTGATAGCAAGACGACTATTACTTTTGCATTGGAAGTCTGCAAGGTATCCCTCCATCTCCTCATGGCTCAAGGATATGATGTTTTTTCTTAAACTGGAAAAAATGTGAGATGTGGGACTGAAAAAACAATTCAGGTAATGTTGTCCGAAACGCAAAAGTACTGTGTCATAACTAATTACGTTACAATGATATTACATGTAAGGGAAACTCACCACTTTGATTTCGATAGAAAATCTGAAAGTAAATAGAATATATAAAGAAATGTTGTCATACGTTTCGTTCAGGAAGCACGGAACGCCCTTGTCAGAGAAAGATGATGACAGATACTCCCAGACCTGGCCCTGGTGCTCTGTGAAGGAGCCAACACATTGAAACGTGCTCGTCCTCAGTGGCCCATGGTGAACGTATCAGTGGCCCATGGTGCACGTCCATCTAAGTCTGAAAATATGTTTGTGTTGTACATTTTTCAATATAAAATTTTTGCATTCACTTCTTTCAATGTTGCTTTTGTTTTATAGTAGGAAACCAAATACATCGTAACGAGTCTATGAAACTTTTATTTGTAAAAGAAGATTTTTGAAGTTAGAGCCTGAAAAATGCACCTGTAATACAACTCTACCAGCTACATTTTTAAAAACATATTTAAGCTGAATGATGAATGAGCTGAAGGAGGTGTGTGTGTGTGGTTAGGGAGAGAGTGTCTCTGCTTAGACTGCTGCACCCCTCGACCCGGCAATGGATGAAGCAAAAGAAAATGGATGGATGGTTGGTATTTAAGCCACACTTGACTGTAAAGGTTCATGTGATAATCATTCAACGTAAGCCCACATTTAGAAAGCTCACGAATGGCAGCGACATGTCCTGATTACTACACAGAGCACTATTTAAAAACAGGTCTTAATTACTACACAAAGAACCATTACCAGCAACAGTAACATGTCTTAAAATAAAGAACACTATGAATACATGAGGGGCGACAGTAGTTCAGTTGGTAGAGCATTGGCCTGAAGGTCGTGGGTTCAATTCCCACCTCTACACCTTCTCCACCGACTCCCACTGATGACTGCTGTCGTTGTGTCCTTGGGCAAGACACTTAACAAAAATAGTGAAGGTACAGCTATGTTTATTTCTCTTTATTTTTGTTTAAATTATTATTTTGGTTTCTGCCCTGGACCCGTCTGTGTGTATTTGGTTTTACATTTGTTCTAATACTATCAAATGGGCTTGTATGTGAAACCTAAAAATAGTTTTAATTTCAAAATCCTTTTGGAAGCATTTTTGACTTTGACTTTCCAAATTCCAGAGTGACTTTATATTTGGACTATGATGTTTTCCACATAGTGTTTGATGCCTTGGCGGGGCTTAATGTTATTGCTGGTCGGTCTGCACATCCCTCCATGTTTGGAAGCAGTGCATAAGTCGACAGCTGACACCACTTTGACAAAGTCTGACGGAGCTGCTTCTGACGCAGTGCTCATCTGTCTCCACAAACTCATTTACATGCGGCCATTCGGACTCAAACCATGCAGAAAATGACTTCATTAGGCCGCCCGTGTTAAATGCCTGTTTGTTGAGTGATGCACTGTTGTTTTCATAGCAATCTTGATGGGGATTTATGGAAATGAGTTTTGCCACAATGACATGAGGTTCATTTCTCCACTCGATGATGAGACGTCATGAGAACGTGACTAATATAAATGACTGGAGGAACATGGAGGCGTCGGCAAGTTTGTATAGCGCAGTTCATACACAAGGAGACTCAAAGTGCAAGATAGAAGCAACCACACAAGGCATTCAAATCATAATAATAATCATTCTACATTAAAACCGGTAAGGGCTAAAAAATATAATAAATAACAAAAATCCCCCAATTATTTGCAACGGCTAAACAGAACTGTTGTCAGAGAGAGATTGTCTCACATTTTCAGGAAGACAGTTTCAGATTTTAGCTGTGTAAATCTGAAATGCAGCCTCTCCATCTTTTGTTCTGACCCTGGGCACCAGTAGTAGGCCAGTTTCTGTGCTCCTCAGAGTCCGAGCCGGTTTACATGGCACTCTCAATGATGATCAATGCTTTATGTCCATAAATGTTAATAGATGTCTGTAAAT